AATAATGTTAATAGATAAACATCCTCTAGTTCTATTATTACACCACAGTAACATTTATAAACAAACATCCTCTAGTTCTATTATTACATCACAATAATGTTAATAGATAAACATCCTCTAGTTCTATTATTACACCACAGTAACATTTATAAACAGGCATCCTCTAGTTCTATTATTACATCACAATAATGTTAATAGATAAACATCCTCTAGTTCTATTATTACACCACAGTAATATTTATAAACAGGCATCCTCTAGTTCTATTATTACATCACAATAATGTTAATAGATAAACATCCTCTAGTTCTATTATTACACCACAGTAACATTTATAAACAGGATGTCTGTTTATTAACATTATTGTGATGTAATAATAGAACTAGAGAATGCCTGTTTATAAATGTTACTGTGGTGTAATAATAGAACTAGAGGATGTGTTAATAGATAAACATCCTCTAGTTCTATTATTACACCACAGTAACATTAATAAACAGACATCCTCTAGTTCTATTATTACATCACAATAATATTAATAGATAAACATCCTCTAGTTCTATTATTACACCACAGTAACATTAATAAACAGAATGTCTGTTTATTAACATTATTGTGATGTAATAATAGAACTAGAGAATGCCTGTTTATAAATGTTACTGTGGTGTAATAATAGAACTAGAGGATGCTTGTCTGTGTTACTGTGTTTCTGTCTAGTCTATGTTACTGTATTTCAGTGTGGTCTGTGTTACTGTGTTTCTGTCTTGGTCTGTGTTATTATTTTGCTGTTTGTTCTTTGTTACTGTATTTCTGTTTGGTCTGTGTTATTGTGTTTTTGTTGTGACGATAGAAAACTTTAAATTCACTTTCCCTGTCTTGAGATAGCTGTTTTACTATAGCTTGTAACTACTAAAATCATCACCATCTACTCACAGTCTCAAATAATGGAACTCTATCATAACATCACCAGTCATCTGCAAACCTTAGCACCTAAAAAGAACACATTAAAAGGGAAGAAGGAACAGCTGGAACTACAGCAAAACGATCTTCAGCAAATGGTGGACAACTCTGTAAGTTTGATGATGAACTAAAAGTAGATTACCAATTGCTTTGTTACAGGACTTATCTATAATATAAATTAAATCAAATTTATGAGATTTGCTTTCATTATTAATATTATTTATAATAAGATTAAAGCTTTTTTGGCATAATCCTTTGATTAGGAAGAGCTATATCTAATGTTCGATAAGGGTTAATTCTTTTAGGGGCCAGATCCCAAATTTTGTTAACATAATGTTTTTTTTAACTAAACAGTATTGGTTATTGAAATGTTACAGTTTGTTTGTACAATGTGGTAAAATGTTCTTATTGACCAGTAGCTCCTTACTGGTATCCAGCTAGACCAGAAGCTCCTAACTGGTATCCAGCTAGACCAGTAGCTCCTAACTGGTATCCAGCTAGACCAGTAGCTCCTAACTGGTATCCAGCTAGACCAGTAGCTCCTAACTGGTATCCAGCTAGATCAGTAGCTCCTAACTGGTATCCAGCTAGACCACAAGCTCCTAACTGGTATCCAGAAGATCAAGAGCTGCTAGAATTTTATTCTAAGGTTTAAATCTAGAATTTTATTCTAAGGTTTAAATCTAGAATTTTATTCTAAGGTTTAAATCTAGAATTTTATTCTAAGGTTTAAATCTAGAATTTTATTCTAAGGTTTCTTACAATTATAAAATCTAGTTTTAATAATCCAAAAGTTGTATCTGATCAATTCACTCCTGAAAAAAATGACAACTGTGTGAGAAACTAGTAGTTGTACACAGAAGTAGGTGAGTTGGCTCTGTTGTAGAGTTGTGGATTTTGGAGTTGGTTCAAATATGTGTGGTACCACAAAATATTTAAACTGTGGATGCGTTATAAAAGCAAAAGTCAATTACTTCATGTGTGTGGTGTGAGGTAGGTTGCTGCTGACTGGCTAATTTCACTTAGTAGCTTTGCAATACAAGAAAAAGTAGAAACACAAATGTACACAGCTAATAGACAAGAACATTAAATCTGTCGTTTGTATAATGAATTTTATGAACTTGTATTGACTATTATATTATGATATCATGACTATTATTTTATGGTATCATGCCTTGAAGTTTACAAATATTGCTGTAAACAGTGGCATAACCAAAAAAAAAAAAGCTGAAACACCTTTAGTTACAGTTTTCTTTTAATTCATTTAACCAATAAAAAACGTTTTAAAATATTTTGGTTCAAAAATATAATATTTTTCTTCTTTAATTTATTTTAATATGGTCTGAAGTCACTTGAGGAAAAATTTACTTTATATTGTCAGTTAACAGAATAAATAATTAAGATGTGAACAGGACTCGCATCTAATCTATGAAGATCAATAATGTAGGTCAATAATGCACTGAGGAACAAGCTGAATGATCTTCTAACTGCTGGAGTTGTGACCAGCACGGATGTCACTTGGCCAGAAATGTTGAAGAAAGCTCAAGACATGGTTCACTTGTATTCGGAGCTGATTTATCAGGTAACAGAAAATACTAATTTTTGTTTTCTCTTTAACTTACGTTTTTGTTTATATCTCAGCTTGCACAGTTTTTAATTTCTTAGTTTTAGTTACATCTGTTTGTTTGTTTAAGTACACATTTGATATTTTTTTTGTGTAATGAGGAAATCTGACAGTAATCTAAGTACTCTAAACCAGTACTAATTGTGTATGTTTTGATGCATTTCGACAAACATTTCGAACATTATAAGTTGATGAGAAAATCGAGAGAATGCAGTCCATTGCCAGCTGCTTTACAGGGTATGTTGTTAAGTGAAAAGTGTTACAATGGGCTATCTGTGTTCTGCCCACCATGGGTATTGAAATCCAATTTTTAGCAATGCTAGTACAAATTATAATTTGATGCAAGAGATGATGTGAAAGATATATTTGTTAAAGGAACTGATATGGATAAAAACTTGATTAGGACTAAAAGGATGGAAAACTTTCAACTCTATGATGAATTCAGATATAATACTTTGGAACTGTACCTGGCATTCCTTAGGAAATGTTTTAATAAGTCTTCAAATGAAGTGATCATATCTGGGGTTGGACCAGGTAAAGGTCTCAGCTTGAAGGTTAAAACGTTGTCCAAAACTCATACACAATGGTTTATAAAGAACATCTTTGTGGTTTTAATACTAAGTTTTCTTAGAGTACTTTGTTTTAACCATATTTTGGGCAGTTTATATTTGTACTGCAATTGAAAATAAGAAAGCTTATATTTGTACTCCAATTAAAAATAGAAAGTTTATATTTGTACTGCAATTAAAAATAGAAAGTTTATATTTGTACTTGTCTGTTAAATTAGGACATTAAAAATTAAAAAGCTTTCTATTGTCAGTGTACTTAGTTTGCAATTATATCTATAAATGCACACTGTTTTCTGCAGGACAATAAGTAAGAGTAAGGATCTCTCTCTGACTTTCAAAGAGGCATGATAGTGGGTGTCTGTCCAGCAGGAGCATCAGTATCTCAGGCTGTTTAAAAACATTTGATATCATTCTATCAACAGTGACATCTGCCACAAAGAAAATGTTTCATTGCCAATTACTGATGACTTACCAAAGGAAAAGACTACTTAATAGGTTTATGGGAAAAAAAACTTATTGTTTGATAATGATGCGCAGTATTACATCAATAACTTTTAATGGGAAAAGGACACTTGTTTATTATTATAAAAAAAAAATTGAATGGAGCATGATATTTTACTTGATAGTGTCCTAAGTTTTTAATTGTGTTCTATAATTTAATCAGTATTTTCTTTTTTTATTGTTAAGCTAAATGGGTCACTAAATACAGAATACATAATCCAAGATGGCAGTGGTGAAGCAGCTGTGGGTCAGTTGCTTAATGCTACCTTGAGCAGTTTGATAAAAGATTATGAAGATGAATTGAAGGTATTCATTTTTTGCATCTTCATATTTGAATGTTTTAAGACTATGCCAAATATTTTTTCTAATACAAAAACTGTAAGAATGATTGATCTAGTTAATTATACTGAAATGATCATGAATGTGATTTGATTTTCATTTGAGCATAGTTAATCTTTTAGACCATAAAGATTAGATTAAAATGGGACTTTTTCTGGTATTTTTGCACTGTGTACCATTGTTGATGCTACCTGTTAGATAAAATCATCACTCGGTAAAAATGTTAGGAAACAAAGAGACAACAATGTCGTTTTAATAATTTAAACTCGTATTGACCAGAGTTGGTACTGTATATCCCCCACCTATTTTCATGTTGACAATTACAACATGAACTTTTTCAGAGTTACTTGACAAATATCCACTGAATGATATGTTAATGTAATCATTTCTCAGATATCATTTTTCAGATTTGCTTGATGTACCATTACTTATAAACAATTGCATATTAAAATAGACAAATGTTAGGCCTAATGGTGCATACTTCTCAACCATTTTCTATTTTAGAATGATAACCTAAAAATTCATATTTTATAGTACTAGTATTTATTATATATCTTTATATTTACTACTACAGAAGATATAACAAAATAATGCTTGCTTAATTTGCTTGAAAACATGCATATTTAGTAGTACACTTCTTATTCTAGATTTAGGCTTAACTATAATCTTTCTTCCCACAGACCATGCAAGAAAATGTACACCATCTGTTAGTTCAATATTCCCAGTTGCAATCTGCCCAGGCAGCTACGGAATACAAATCAGATACAGCTTTGAGCAAGCTTTACTACTTGGAAAAACTAATTAGTAAGTTTGTATATATATTGTAGATACTGTTTATTTTGTAATGCCTTTATTACACCTATTTCTGTTGATTGTGCTGGTCAACATTTACATTTGTGTCATACAAGATCTGTATCTTAAAAATAATTGCTTTCTTATTACTGCTACCAGTATTCAGGTAATAAAATTCATAAACCAATATTGTTGATGAAATGATGAATGAAAGTGCACGATATAATGTAAATGAAATATTTTAACTAAGAGTAACCCATCACAGAAACAATAACACAGA